AGTAGTGTGGGAGGGTTTCCGTCTGTGGCAGCGAGTCAATTCTAAAACAGAGATTAACTATGAAGAGGCGGCGCCTGGTGTTTCTTTATCAATTCTTTTCCATTGTGGCTTCCACATTTGATGAAATCCTTTTCCCTCCCTGAAGCTACACGTGCAGCACCAAATGGAGGATCAGAATTGGATAAATCATAAAAAATAAAATCTCACAACATAAAACCTTCAAAACAGCTTCCTGGGCTTTGAACTGGCAGGCAGCTCTGTTCCTTCTCAACAAGCATCCGATTGGATTAAACCGGCCTCAATGCTGCTGAAGCCGCTTTCAGTCCTTTCAGCGATTGACCTGCCTCTGCACCAATCTCCCAGTATAAAACAAATGGCCCTTCATAGGCTCAGTGTGTGCATCCTTAAAGCAGCAGAGTATAACATTTGGGGGCATTCAGCAGGGAGGATGCAGTTTGAATGTCCCCTCTGGGCTACTGTACAAACATAGTATAGTAACCAGATCGTTGTGTTGCTGACCTTCGTTGAGAAGTGCACACAAACGTTTCCGTGAGGTATCATGCGCAGCTCTCCATCACATCATTCAAGTCATCACAGACTGAACATTGCTCTAATTAAACACTCCATTCTCTGCAACACGGGGCGTTCCGGCACATAAACACACTAAATCTAAGACCACATTTGTTCCCGAAAGAAGAAAACAGGGAGTCCACTGTGTGTGTGTGTGTGTGTGAATACAAGAGCCAATCAGAGAGCTGCAGAGACGCTGAGCCCCCCAAGTACTGCTGGTTTATAGGGCTCAGCTTCAGAGAAGTCACATGATTTCCCAGAGAGAACAAGAGAGAGGGAGAGGAGTGGGCAATGTGGGAAAGGAGGATGAAGAGGAGGAGGAGGAGTGACAAAGGGTCAGCAGGGTGACAGGGTGGCTGCGAAGGAGTGAACTCAAGGTCGGGTAAACGAATGGAACAGGCGGGTGACGGTCTTTGATTACAGCTGAATGAACAGGGCGAGAAATGACTGGGTGAGAGAGGATGAATGGGGGACGGGATCAATGAGTGCACGCAGGCGATGGCGGTTGCAGTTGATTACTACAGCGGGTATTCGTGATGGTCTAGTAAACCCTGCCTCATACTGTCAAACCACATTGCTTAAAGGGACAGTCCGCCCCAATTACAAACGAAAATGTTTGATACAATATTAGATTATCTGAATGGCGGTGATTCAAATTAAGTTTGACCACTCAAAGCCTTTTAAAATGGCCATTTTGTGAATTCTATAATCCATCCGGGTTTTATTGGGACTATTCATTCGGAAGAAAGTGGTTCCAAGGAAAACTTTGAGTGATTTTTCAGATGTCGTCAATATCCACTAACAGAAGTCCATTTGCCTTCTCACGAATCGGGCTGGAGACGGAAGAATATCTTTGAGGACACAACCGAGACAAATGTAGGGGCCCCTGAGGGCCGGAGACTCAAAAACACTTAAGAGTGGCAGCAGGCAATGATACTCAACTTTAACTGCCCGGGTGACGGTGAAAGGAAAATTAAGGGGGAAATTTTGAGGGGAAATTATTTAGTTTTGGAACATTTCAACACAAATAGTTAAAACAACGCCGTGCTTTGACCCTGCCGTCCTGCTCCCATGGGAAAGAATCTTGTTGCGTTCATGTTTTCCAATGTTGTACTAATTTTAATCCAAACCATGAGGTTGTTGATGATCTCTAGCACTTTTTACTTTGTTTAGTTTGAAGCGGTTGACATCTGTGACCGTTCGGCCCGGAAGGACGTAGCCGAGAGGCGGTTTAGCTGCATGCAACCATCACTTGCAGTAAACAGGGTGGCGAGAGTGAGCAGTTTGCACAAAATGCGGTGAAAAGTTTTCCATATAGAGGCAAGCAGTTTGTGACAAAGTGTATGTGTCTATATGTGAATGAGTATGAGAGATACATGGATAGATAGAATTTTCCATGAAGTGCCAGAGGACAACCGCCATTCAGCTTTGCTTGCAGCGTAAAAAAAACTGCATGTGTGTGTGTCTGTGTGTGTGTGAGTGTGCAACTGTGTGTGTGTGTGTGTGTGTGTGTGTGTGTGTGTGTGTGTGTGTGTGTGTATTAAAGGCGGTTCACATGGTTCATGTCATTTGTAGGGGTGGATTGAAACGTGAAACAGACGTGAAACAGATGTTACTCTCGTTTCGCAGGACGTCATTTTGACACCTTTGCGACTGCATGGGGGATGTGTGTGTGTGTGTGTGTTTGTGTGTGCGTCTTGAGTGCGCGTACGAGAAACCTCATTTGACGGAAGGCTTCCCATAAACACCTGTTTTGTTCCGGTTAATAGTTTTCGTCATGGTGAAGAAATGATGGCCTCAGTGAAAGAGGAGAGAGAGAGAGAGGGAGAGGGGGGGGGGTCACCTCCATTGCCCTCCTTCTGTGAAAGAGAAGAGCTCGTGTGGGATGAACACATTCGTTTATTCATTCGGTCCGTCTATTTTGGGCCCAGCGGGTTTATGGTTATTGGAAAGGCGTTGCCGTCTCGCTCCTTCCCAGAAGGAGTCAATATTTCTCCCTCTCCTTCATTTCTCCCTCTCTGACTCTTTATTTTTTTTTCTCTAATTCAATATTTTCTCCAAAACACCACTCTCGCCTCCACACACAGAGAGGCGAGGAATGCTGGAAGACATCTGAGGGAAACAAAACACACACACACACACACACACACACACACACACACACACACACACACACACACACACACACGGACACACACGGACACACACGGACAAAAGTGTGAGGTTACAGAAGCAACCTCGTAAAACCACGGCTCTGTTACCGGCAATATGAACTGTAACTACAGTGTGCCGCGGCCCAGTGACACACACTGGGACTTTTAACTGGGAGTGATTAACGTCAGACCAGACGGCATGGGTCTGCACGGCAGTGGGAATTGTGTGGGAATGGGAGGGAGAATGTGAACGTAGGAAGAAAAAAAGCAAGGGTCAGAGGAAAGTGGGAGTTGTTGTTTAGCAAGCACCTCGCAGCCTAATCTCAGTCCCTCGGGGTACCGACCAAATGCTGGAGCGTCAATGCTGATAAAGTTGTGGGTATAATCAGTTCGGTTTGTGCCTGACCCTCATTTATTGTACATGTGCGTAGGGAGGCGCGAGCTTGGCGAACATTCTTCCCCCCTCTTTTCTCACACTCTCGCTCTACGATGAGCTAAAAGGAGGACGACCGGGAGCTCGGCGGAATCACCTTCGCAGCTCAGTGCGGTCGTAAAGGTCAAGCCAAAAGTAGGTTTTGCGACCCCTGAAGAATCTGAAGGGTGTCCCAGTAATCTCAGAGCGTTCGTGTCCATAACAGAGCGTAAACACATCATGCACACCCGCAAATGGGGCGGACAGACACACACAGATGCACTGAGACACATTTACGCTCGTGCACGCCTCAGTGCTCCGGGGATTCATGTGGGACAGAGAGATCAATTAGAAACGACAGCCACATCAGCAGTAAACGCCAAATTTAACAGGGACACCAGTGCGGAGATCTCGTCAGTGGGCAACGCTGACATGCACGCTCGCGGGCTCAGACATTCACAAACAGGCATTAAAATCCAGGCCAGGCCGGCCTGGATATATCAACTAAGCAAGGAGAAGTTTGAATAATAATTCACACAGACGGTGAGGGACTTAATTCACTTCATGTTTGAGTAGCATAGTTTGCTAGTAGCCGGTCACACTGGCCCGTGGACCATGTTAATGCAAACATACATTTATCTCTACTTGTGAAATGCAACATGAATCTTGCAGTGTTCGAAGAATACCTGAAAAAAATGCCAATTTCTGCAGAATTGGATCCAATTACAGCTTATAGGTTTCAGACGGAAGCTGATCTCATCGCAGGAGAGCCGAGTATTTATTCGTCTGAATCTACCCATATGAGGTCCAAGAGGTTGTTAAAGTGCACATATTTCATCACGCAGTTACCTTTTAGATGCATTCATTTATATGTGACTATGACATAAAGAATTAATATTAACATCTGTTATTTATTTGAGTTTTTAAGGAGGCCCATTTCAACAAAGGTGATAAACTGCACCCTCGGTTTAATATTTGACACTCATTTTCACTACTATTGTCCTGCTTTTTATTATCATTATATCATAATAGTCATATTAGGGGACAGACATAATGCTTGGTCCTATGGTATTGTCTGCTTGATCTGTTTTATGTCAGTAGGTGGTAGTATTGTATAGCTGTGGTAACACATAACGCATCAGTGTTTGACATGTAGACACAAACATCAAAATGAAAAAAAATCAAACAATGCAGATACATTCAAGTGTCCTCATAGATATATACACTGTAAAAAAGTATGTTGATTTTACGGTAATAAACTGTTAAATCGCAACGGTAAAAGACCGTTGATTCAAAATAGGTCATCTTCTGTTTCTATCACATTGAAATACTGTATATGTATATATCAGCGCAAACCGTAATTAATGCATCTATTTATTGTAAGAAATACATTTCCTCACTGTTAATTGTACTAAACAGTGTACTGATAACGGAAATACACCGTATTATGAAAAACACTCTGTACCGTGATTTTTACATTTATAACTTTAAAAAAATATAATCTGTCCCTGTTAAATGTACGGACTACTGTGCTGGCAACCGAAATATAACGCATTTTAAATGTAACAGCCAGCCCTGTTATTTTTGCATTTATTATTTGTAAAGGATACAGTTGGTCACTGTTAATTGCACTAAAAATTGTACTGATGACGGTAATCAACCGTAATATGAACACTCAATACCGTAGTTTTTGCATGTATTACTATTTAAAAATACATTTTGTTACTGTTAAATGTATGCACTATTTTGCTGCATATGGAAATATAATGTATTATGGCATTAACAGCAGGTCCAGTATATTTAATATTTGTACAAAATACAGTTTATAATTGTTAATTGCAATGGAGATTGTACTGATAATGGAAATACATCGTAAGTTTTTAGATGTATTACTCCTTAAAAAGAAATTGCGTTACTGTAAATTATACGGAATATTTAGTTGCGAATGGAAATATAACTTATTGTGAATTTAACAGCCAGTCCTATAGTCTTTGCATTTATTATTTGTGCAAAATACAGTTTATAACTGTTAATTGCACAGAAGAAAGTACTGAATATATGTAACAGGCAATACTGCGCTTTTTACAAAGATTATCTGTGAAAATACACATTTAGTCAAGGTTACATTTACCACTGTACTGATTACAGAAATACTTTAATATAAATACAACAGTCACCACTGTAAGTGTACTAACCATTGTGCTAATAACATAAATATACTGTGGGGAAGTTAACATGGGTAACATGGGTATATTAACCGTTCCGATTTTTATGGAAAGGCTGGGAAAGAGAGACAGAGAAAGGGAGACAAATTGAGACATATAGAGAGAGACAGAAAGAAAGAGAGAGACACGACAGGAGGGCAGAAGTGTGGCTGTGTTAAAAAAAACAATGTTCGAAGATTGAACTTTTTAACTCCACTTCAGAGCCATTTCTACGCACTCTGCATTGCTGGAACAACGGCCTGACTGACTCCGGGCTACATTTCTTCTTGAGGTAACTTGCCTACATAATCTGTGCTATATCTCTGCCATAATCTAGGCTATATTTTAATTTGATGCTTTGTTTTCTACAATTTTGCATTACTGTTGCAAAAACGTTATTCTGCACTGAACGTTAGCTAGCTAGCTAACATTAGTTTACCAAACGTTGGCTAAGGAAATGTTTCAACGCAATTACTGTGGCACGTCGGTTAAAACACAGAGGGGTTATGTGCTTCGTTGCAAACTTCATAGAAATGAACCACGTTGTTTGTTTAAGTGCGTTGAAGCTGGTTGCAAAAAGACCTTTGTTCGATATGGAGCATTTAAGGCTCATTTCTACCGGACACATATCGTTAACTTATCAGCTTCTGTTAACGTTACTGTCGGGACAGCTCTCAAATGCGGTGTGGCGTTATGTGAACGTCAGTGTCGAAATACAAAACAGCTAATAGCTTATTTGAAGGAGCATCTCTTGGAAGGACGCGCTGTGAGTGGTCCAGTGAGTGGATGTAAAAACGTTTTCATGGTCAAATCCCCATTCACAAGTCACACAAAATGTATACAAAAATGTATAATTGATGGGATTAATTAGATGTGCCGTTATCCTGGTTGTTAAAAAATTAACCACATGAAACGTGAAGATAAGTCTTGATTGAGTCTTGAGAGTGAATGTCATGCTGTCAGTCCAGCAGCTCCCCCTGTGTTTGTTTGCTTTGCCTGTGTGTCCCCTGTCTCTGCAAGGAGCTGTGGTCTCCTCCTGTTCATCCCCAAAGGACGTGGCTGGAACAGCTGACGGCAATCAGCCATCAGGGGACTCTCCTACATCAACCCGGGTCTTCCTGCCATTCAGCGCCAGATCCTTCTGTCGTCAGAGAGGTAACTACGTATTCATGCCACCTGCTATGAGACGCTGTCTTTGTTCACCTTGTCCTGTTTTTTGCCACGTTGATGCCTTTGTGCTAAAATGAGTCCTCTTTTAACATTCAACCTGACTCTTATTAATTTTGATTAACTATAAAGTGGAATTATATTCAGAGTGTTGGTTTCTTCTAGGTCATTGAAGGTCAGTTAAACACAAGAAGGCAGTAAATGTGTCTCTGCTCAAGCAGTGCATTAATCTAACTTTGCCTTTGTTTCTGTTTTTGGGCTACAGAGAGGATCATCCCAATCCGCAGTGAAGACCTGAGGATACAAGTCCTCAAGTAGAAGGTCCCGAACTGCTCCGCTTCCTGGATGTTGATTTACCATCAGCTTTATTTAATATTTCCTGATGTTGACTGAAATATATGCCAACCTTTTGTAATACGTTATACCTTATTTTTTTGCAATGTATTTCTGGCAAATACAGTTTTTGGCAATTTGCTTTGAACTTTGTAATAAAATACCGTAACTCATACAGCTGTACTGTGTTTATCTCTGAGAAAGACCCTAATTAGGTTCAGAATAAATGCGTTTTTTAAAAAACATACCGTATTGTCTTATACAAAGAAAACGTTAATTTACCGTATATTTCACTAATTTCTTTTTACGGTGTATCTGTTTTTTCAATAGTGGTTTTCTTGAAACAAAACTGTTCTCAACTGGGAATTTTACGGGTGCAAAAAAACGTACCGTAATGTCTTATACAGCGTCACTTTATTTTTTTACAGTAAACCTCTGGCAACCACAGCTGCCAGTAATTTACCGTATATTTCACAGATTTTTTTTTTTGCAGTGTAAATAAACCCAAATAAGGTCTGAAACTACAAGCAGCCCCCAGGTTTGATGCAAGAGTATCTAGCTGTGACCCTCCCGTCGGTTCTTGTTTGTAGGTGCAGCTCATGATGCATATTTACAAACTTGTTTTCAGGACACCACACCTATGAATGCCATCTAACTCCATTCAGAGCCAGTTACTATGATCGGCTGCAGCAAAGGGAGAGGGAAGATCGAGGGAGTAGAGATCTCTTTGTTAAAGTTACTTTCATTAATAGGTCTTCACCATATTGTTTATTTGATTCATTCATTCATTTTGAATTAACGAGCGTGTTGCATCATGACTTTGAAAATATTTTCCAGCAGAGTTTTCTTCGAATACTTGAAACGTGTACTTGTGCCCACGTACCAACCGCTCAGGCAGAGAAATGCATCAGTTTCCGTGGCAGGATGGCGCTCAGCACGGAGCTATCACAACATCGGGAGACCCAAGTACCGAGGGCCGGGCAGCGCAGCCACCATCCGGGTGGTGGACCTCCGCAGCGACGCGTTTTCCCGGCCCGGGCCGGCAATGAGGCGGGCCATGCTGAAGGCCATGTTTGACGAGGACCTGATGAGAGAAGAGGAGACAGTTGACGGTAAGAGCAAAAGCAACTAAAACATTTGGGAACTACAGAAAGTAATATTGTAATTTCCCCTGTAATTAGTTCCCTGGAATGTTCCCCAATCGTGTCTGGACAGGTTGAGCTTGCTCAACTGGTCAGATGCCGACCTTTTCAGTTCTGCTTTGTGTGTTATATGTCTAACTTTCCTAATGTGACCAGTTTTCATTCTCCATTAATCCACGCTTTAGAGTGTATATTTTACCATAGTTTTTCCTCATAAATTCAAAGTATACGTTGGTCGAACAGTCTGAAGTATCTAATTAACGTCTCGCTAATTCCTGTAGAGTTGCAGAAAACTACAGCTGATTTGTTTCAAATGGAAGCTGCACTGTTTGTTCCCTCGGGATCCATGGCTAATCTCATCGCAGGTGAGCTGTGCATTAATTGAGTCTAAAAAGCATTTTCACAACTTCAGAATAGTTATTCATGCACACGTTTCATCACACAGTGATGGTGCACTGCAGGGAGCGCGGTGACATGATGATTGTTGGCGATCAGTCCCATTTACACATCTTTGGGCAAGGGGGGAGCGCGCAGGTGAGAGTCCCGCGGCAGCAAACAGGCCCCCTGCGCCTCTTTGTCCACATCGCATTCATTGATTGTGTGTATGTGCGTTGACGCAGCTAGCAGGGGTCCACGCCACCACAGCCACAACTCTCCCCGACGGGTCGTTTGACTTGGATCAGCTGGACTCAAAGATCCGCCACGGTTACCCCGACCCACATTACCCCCGCACACGCCTCATATGCGTGGAAAACACACACAACATAAAGGGAGGACGTGTGCTGCCTCTGACCTTCCTGCAGGAGGTGTGTGTGTGTGCGTATGTTACACGTATCTTACTTACCTCACATAGAACCATCACAGACTTGTTTCCATCTCCAAGGTTCGTGCTTTGGCCGATAGATCTGGCCTGTCAGTTCACATGGACGGAGCCAGGGTTATGAACGCTGCTGTTGCCCAGAGGGTGCCTCCATCCACCATACTGCAGCACACACACACTGTCAGTGTGTGTCTCTCCAAGGTGGGACTGCAGGACACACAGAATGGATGATCAAAAGCAAAGAACAAATCTTCTCAAAGTCATATTCACGTTACGGCGTATAACAGGGTTTGGGGGCCCCTGTGGGGGCCGTGCTGGCTGGACCCAGAGACTTCATATCCCAGGCAGCGCGGTGCCGTAAAGCCCTGGGTGGGATGATATGGAAGACTAGTGTACTGGCAGCAGCTGGAAAGCTGGCTTTACTGGAGATGGTTGACAGACTGGAGGAAGATCACCGTAATGCAAAAACCTTTGCTCAAGGTGAGAAGCTCATGTTTCAGAAAGTGAAATAATGAACTGCCTGCTCAACTCCTCCTTCTCTTTTCTTCACCTCTCCAGCTCTGCTGGACTGTGACCCTCCTCTATTCGCCGTCGACACGGTGGAAACAAACATCCTGCGTTTCCATCTAAAGGAGCCCAGCTTAAGCCCCGCTGAGTTCTGTGACCGCATGGGTCAGGTTTGGGAGGGAGAAGAGGCAGCGCTGGGACATGGGATACGAGTGCTCATGTTCCCTTTTTTTGGAAATTCCGTAAGGGCTGTGTGGCATCTTGGGATTTCCCCTGAAGATACCCAGCTGGCCGTCCAGAAAATGCAATTTGTGGCTTCTCAGTTCTTGAATTAAAAAGTGAAAAACCTGACAAACAACGCAACAAAAACAGCAATACATTCCTTTATATTTTTTCATTTGTCATCTGGACGAATGCAAACGGCAGTGACTGTAAAGTTCATGTTTCAAATCCTAAAATCAGACACTGTTGCTTGTAAAGATTCAGCCTTCTAATTGTTCACCATACACACCCAACGCATGTTGTTTCATGAGTCTCGTCTGCACATGTACCAGCATTGTTATGTCAGTGTTCTATTACTTAACATTAATAGCTGCCTGATGAATGGCTTTTTAAATTCTTGCCAGAAGAGCTCCGGACCTTATTTCCTTTTTATCTTTTTCGTGTTTGCTCCCAAAGAGCAGCTTCATTTTACTTGGTTGATCTTCAGAGGACGGTCCTCTGTTTTTTTAAATACTTTTCTAAATTTGGTAAACTTCAGAGCCACCCTGTTTAATAAGCTAATTTCCATGTTTAGATTGTACATCACAATCAGCCAATATTTTCGATCTTCCAATTCCATATAAATGATCGTTTGTTTAGGGTTGTAAAAACTGTTTCAGGTATTTGAGTGGGACCAGAAAATCTGCTGTGACCTCCGTAGAATATTCATTTTCATTTTGTTTGATTATATTCCGTGTTATCAAAAGTCATTAGGGAAGTTGTTTAATTTTTCTTTACAAATTAACCTTATAACATCACAAGGGTTGAGAAGATTCAGTAATTTGGTGAGGTAGTTACAGGGTCTATCACGCACCAAATCATGTCATCTGCCAAGAGATTGTTTTAATGATTATGATGAAGAAACCTTGTATATCAGCTGATTGAAAAAAATCATGAAAAACTAGAGGAATGCGTCTGACATTACCTTGAGGCCAAAGCTAAATATTCAAAAGGAAAAAGTGCGAGACAATCTGAGTATGTGAAAATTAAAATCTTTGGTATATTGATGAAAAAGAACGTATATGGATTTTTTTTTCGAGTGTTTTCATAAAAGTTGTTTTCTGTGAAAGTACACCAATGTTTATATAAGTAAAGAAAAATAAATCTTCATCAATTAGGATCATCATTAAATCGTTAACAGTTTGTCTTTAAGTGTTATCATTACTCCAAACATTTGATGGTTTCATGTTCGTAAGTATTAGTTTATATTGATTATATTTCACATTCAACAAATTATCTTTGGTTTTTGGACCACTGGTCATGAAAGGACCTCACAGCGTCTTAAAGTCGATTGTGATGTACATTTTCTAATGGTCTTCTGATGTAATCTAGATTGATTGAGAAACTCTCTGAGGTTTAATCTTTTAATAATATAACCATTAGTTGCAGCCCTATACAGTGGAGACAAAAACATGATCACCAATCCTACATAATATGATCCAGTGCAATAACCTTTATATAATTATCATTTTTTCCAATATGCGTCAATTCTGTTATTATCTGAATCAAATTAATTATAATTAACTTCAGCATAACACCTCTACCAGAAACTGCAGACTCATAACTAAACAACTCTTCTTGAAAACATTATGACAAGCAGCACATTCATTTGGATCCAGATGTTGGGTCCATTGTCATGAATTGCGTTGGACGGAAGTCGCTCTGTTATTTTGTTCGCGATAACTAAGTGAAATAACTCTGAAGGGAATTTCAAAACAGGAAGAGAGATTTAACATTTTTCAGAGGTGGAATGCAGCGCGATCACCTTGGTTGTGATAACAGCGACACCTACCGGTCAGCGTTGGTCAGCGCAGGGCGATGGGCTGATAGGTCATCCATTAAGTTTCCTTGCAGTCAAATATTTTCGATTAAAAAGATCCAAAGTTCGATTCATAATATCGCGCGAGCATGTCTGTAAGTGGAGCATCGAGTTCTTTGAGAACATTTTCCAGCAGAGTTTGGGGTAAAGTTCCGTATCATGGTCTCGTCGCCTCGAGGAAACCGCTCAGTGCCGTGCGCGGCTACCGCGACACCGGGAAGCCCCGGTACCCGGGACCGGGCAAGCCCGCCCGCGGCCGGGTTGTGGACCTCCGCAGTGACACGGTGACCAAGCCCGGGCCGGCGATGAGGCGAGCCATGGCAGAGGCCGAGGTCGGAGATGACGTGATGGGGGAGGACCCGAGTGTTAACGGTTAGAGCCGAAGCGTTATTCTGTAATATAACAACATGTGGGACTGACTCCTGTAAGAGTTGACCAGTAATTACTGACTTAGTTTGAATGCAAAACTGGAAAGGAAATATGTAAATAGATCGATAATAATACAATGTTTTATTGATAAAGGCCTATACATACTAGCCACTCCATCTTTACCAAAATTACACAGTATTTAACTAATTTTTGCAGAGTTACAGCAAATTGCAGCAGATATGTTTCGGATGGAAGCTGCACTCTTCGTTCCGTCTGGAACCATGAGTAATCTCATTGCAGGTGACCTGTGCATTTATGTCTGATTCCACCCATGTGAGGTCAGAAAAGGCCATTGACGTGCACACGTTTCATCACACACACAGTGATGGTGCACTGCAGGGAGCGAGGCGACGAGATGATCGTGGGCGATCTGTCCCATTTACACATCTACGAGCAAGGGGGGAGCGCGCAGGTGAGAGTCCCGCGGCAGCAAACAGGCCCCCTGCGCCTCTTTGTCCACATCGCATTCATTCATTGTGTGTATGTGCGTTGACGCAGCTAGCAGGGGTCCACGCCACCACAGCCACAACTCTCCCCGACGGGTCGTTTGACTTGGATCAGCTGGACTCAAAGATCCGCCATGGTTACCCCGACCCACATTACCCCCGCACACGCCTCATATGCGTGGAAAACACACACAACATAAAGGGAGGACGTGTGCTGCCTCTGACCTTCCTGCAGGAGGTGTGTGTGTGTGCGTATGTTACACGTATCTTACTTACCTCACATAGAACCATCACAGACTTGTTTCCATCTCCAAGGTTCGTGCTTTGGCCGATAGATCTGGCCTGTCAGTTCACATGGACGGAGCCAGGGTTATGAACGCTGCTGTTGCCCAGAGGGTGCCTCCATCCACCATACTGCAGCACACACACACTGTCAGTGTGTGTCTCTCCAAGGTGGGACTGCAGGACACACAGAATGGATGATCAAAAGCAAAGAACAAATCTTCTCAAAGTCATATTCACGTTACGGCGTATAACAGGGTTTGGGGGCACCTGTGGGCACCATACTTGCTGGACCCAGAGACTTCATATCCCAGGCAGTGCGGTGCCGTAAAGCCCTGGGTGGGGGGATGCGACAGGCTGGTATACTGGCAGCAGCTGGAAAGCTGGCTTTACTGGAGATGGTTGACAGACTGGAGGAAGATCACCGTAATGCAAAAACCTTTGCTCAAGGTGAGAAGCTCATGTTTCAGAAAGTGAAATAATGAACTGCCTGCTCAACTCCTCCTTCTCTTTTCTTCACCTCTCCAGCTCTGCTGGACTGTGACCCTCCTCTATTCGCCGTCGACATGGCCGCGGTGGAAACAAACATCCTGCGTTTCCGTCTAAAGGAGCCCAGCTTAAGCCCCGCTGAGTTCTGTGACCGCATGGGTCAGGTTTGGGAGGGAGAAGAGGCAGCGCTGGGACAGGGGATACGAGTGCTCATGTACCCTTATTTTGGAAATTCCGTAAGGGCTGTGTGGCATCTTGGGATTTCCCCTGAAGATACCCAGCTGGCCGTCCAGAAAATGCAATTTGTGGCTTCTCAGTTCTTAAATGAAAAGGTCAAGGCCCAGTGAAACCTGGCACTTCCTAAGCTTTACTTCTATATTAAATTTAATCCGAACCATTTTTGAGGTTATTATTAAAAGTACAAACCACAGCCTTTTGTCCGAGTTGTTTTTCCTTTTGTGTGGTGTTTTTAATATATTTCTATGGAGAGTAGAAGGAAGCACAAATAACCCTTTGTCGATTCTGTTAAATTGAAAACATTTCCGAATTTAGCATTAAATCACCATTCTAACCCAATGTTTAAAATAATTCATGCATATATTTGCATGTTATATTTCGTTCGTGGTTGTTAGCTTTAATTGTCTAATGTTTGGTCAAGAAATTGTTTTGTGAGAGAGAAGGGCCTTTACACTGCAGTAAGCATACAAAGGAAAGATTATTGATTAGCAAATTTCCGTGGACGTCATATAGAAGAGGAAACAAAATTTAATTTTAAGGAAACAAAAATAGCTGGCAGCGGTGGGATTCGAACCCACGCCATCGAAATGACTGGAGCCTAAATCCAGCGCCTTAGACCACTCGGCCACGCTACCTTGTAAGCTGTGCCTGGCAATTTGTTATTCATATTCCTACAGCTTCATCGCTTTAGAAACTAACTGGCTGATATTGGCTGAAAACAGTCATCGTTTTACTCATCTAAGGAGTCCGACAGGGGTAACGTAAACGATATAATAATAAAGGATGCATGTTGATGACTTTGATTTATTAACGATTAGCGTTGCTATCTAACGTTAACTGTACTGATTATCGGGATGTAACGTTGGTACTTGGTCGTAACGGCTAATAACGACTGCACAGCTAGCTAGTGTTAGCCGTGTTGTTAGCTAACGTAATGCCGCAACATTGTTAATTCGCTTAGTGCTGCCTTCAATTGCTCTTCGGTAGTCGTCACTTCCGACGAGACAAGATGTTACTGTTTGCATGCTGCATACGTAACATGCTGTTGTTATGTGTGTGTGTGTATTTCCACTTGATATTGCAGATACAATCAACGGACTCTTCTCCCATTCATATGGTATTTTCGGATATTCAATATGTTTACGATTATATTTCCGCTGGTATTGAAAGCAACAGGGCGTATGGGCGGAGCTTCACCGAGACCATTTCTAAGTGCACGGCGCGCACGTCGTCGTGGAGGACGGTAATAAGAACCGCGACCCGCCAGGCTCGTCCCCGGACCGCCAGGATACGTTGGAGAACCGGGACCGACCCAGGCCGGTGTGGGGGGAGAGCTCAGCTGCTGCTGCGACCCCGATATCTGTCTTAACGTCTCACTGAGAGACGGAAGTGGACAGTCCCACGCGACATTGTGTCCCGCAGCCTCCGTCAAGAGTGATTACACGCGGGTTTGTGCGCCCGGTTATAAGGTAGGCTTTGGTTAATACGTGCATTCAAACCGTAGACCAAAACAAACGTGAATACATTTGTAGAAATCCGTACTGCAGCATGCAAAATCCATGATGGCTGCTGCTTGATTTATAAGGCAAACCGCTGTCAAGTGAGACGGCTGGCATGACAGCTGTCTATGGGAGCACATTGTAAAGCAGCACCGCAGGTTATTTAGCCCGCTTGGGTTTGCATTCATCTCCCCGGAAATCTGCAAGCCCAACTGTCCTCGAGCATGTTGGTGGTTACAGTTGCGTTGCAACATGGGAGCGTGCTTATGCATGCTAATGCATAAGTATGTATTGTGTTTTTACGTTGTGTGCATGTGATGGAGTGCAGATACTTATACGGTCACACGGAACTCTCCCCTGTGCAGCCATGAAACGAGGTTGTTATTGACACGTACTTACATGGCTTCCTGCCACAGATTAACTTCCCACTCTCTCTAGTGGCTCTACTCTCCACTCCCTCTCCACGGCCCTCTCTGTCCACTCACACCTCTCGCTCTCCTGTCTCGCCAACCCAACAGCGGCCATCATGGAGGACGAGCTGATGATGTTCAGCATGGAGGAGGTGGGAAGCGCCAAGAGACCCCCGGTGCAACGAAGTGGCTTCACCCATCGGGCCTCTTCCCTCAGTGAATCCAACGCCAGTGACGACGACTACGAGGACCACTTCATCTGCCCCATCCTGGACGACTCCGCCAAGGAGATCTCTCATTACCTGAAGAATGCGGTTAACGCCCGGCAGCTGTCAAACTCTCTTCCCAGGAGCCACTTCAAGTACAGGGTGAGCGGTCGCCTTGGCAACGTGATGCCATACGGATGGCAAAGTGAAAAATAGCAGAACATGTTGACGTGCAGGGAGGGAGGGAGGGGGGGGGGGGTTGTTTAGATCTGCTGAAATAGCCTTTCCTTATAAGGAGAGATGATGCGTCCATGCCTGAACCCATGTACCAGCGTGTGTGTATTTATTGAAGTGGAAAGCTCGCCAAACACCTCTCGCTAAAGAACAGGACGTTCCACAAAGTGTTCTGTTGCATGTAAGCACTTATTAAACATCAACGTCGGGCTTTCTCCTCGTGTGAGAATATACACAGGCTTGTTTCAGTCTCTTCAGGGCCGTTGTGCTTCAGCCAACTGCCTTAATGTGCAGTATTTTAATTCAACTCAAGAAGGCAATTTACGTTATTTACGTTATTTATTTCGCTGTGCAAATGTCCGGTATTTTGTTCTTGTTCTTTGATAAAAGGGCGTCCGTTTTCTTTACCTTTCCGCATAGAATGAAACCGAAAAGGTGGCCGAACTTCACCCGTACACGGTTTTGTCTCCGAGCGCACGGGTACGTTACAGATCAGTTATGTTCCTCTTCTGTCCCTCTTCACCAGTGACCATCAGCGCCTCTCTTTTCCCAACTGCACGCTGTAATTTACAAAAAAAAAAGCTTTCCACTTTCCCTTATTTCCTCCTCCTTTCATGACCGATGTGTGTTCCAATCATCTCGCCGTCCCTTTCCTTTCACCGTATCCTCGTGTTTTATACAAACTACATGAACAAAAAATGAATGTTGTAACGCACGTTGTGCATTTGTTACTTCACAAAACCACACATTATTTCTTATGTGCCTTTTTCATTGTTGTTTTGGTTTCAGAAATCTTTTTTTTTTTTAAACGTTATAGATGCTGGTGCTCTAATTCTACATTCTAAAACTCCAGAAAGAAATTGTAGCTGTATTTTAAGCACTGCTGTGAACTTCAGTATCACAGCAGGCCGCTGTATCTGACCCTAAATTCTTGTAACCGAGGTGTAATGTTTCTACCAGCATGGAGAAGACTCCACCAGGGGAACCAGGTTTGACATTGGACTTGTCGTCAGCTTCTTGCAACAAACCTGACGCTTTCACTTTAAAACAACCCCAACCCCTCATATTTCTCTTCATGTAACTCCCTCGCTCTAAATATAAACTTGTTTTGAGGCGCTGCTGTACAGTGAGCAGTGACATACGAGGGAGACGTGCTGCTGTGCAGCGCTGCATGATTCAAGGTTTGGGGTTACTGCAGCGGGTTTGGATTACCACTTCATGGGTCCAACCGAGAAAATAGTTTGTTCAAAATGCCACGACTGCAGATGGCCAGGAAACATCACATGGTTACCGCATTCTTATTGAGGGAGCCGTAAATTAATTCAGTTAATGTCCTGGATTGGGAGATCTTTGCTGACCCAATTGATTGCCCAAGTATTCTGAGGCCTGTCTCATATTTAAATGTCCTTTATGCATTCGTTTGGCTGAAGATATTTGTGGGTTTTTTTCATAAGGGTCATCATTGGAGACTTTTTTTGTATTTTTGATGCATCTTTTCTCCTCTTCCAAACCTGTTTGGGTGACAGATTTATATTTTGTTGTTGCATAAAATCAAATCCAGTCCGCTCATAAGGTTGTGTCTGCTCATTGTGACAGGATCTTTGGAAACACGCGATCGAAAAGGCCAAAGCTATGCCCGACCCGTGGGCTCAGTTTCACATGGAGAAGATCCCGACTGAACCCTGCATGCGTTACAGGTACGAGTAACCGTGTGCTGCTTTCAATCGATATCTGCGGTTCATTTTGTGGCTCCTCGGCTGCAAAATGTTCCCCAGCTTGGTCTGTCGGCTTCTTGGTGCTTCGTGAAAAAAAAAAAAACAGCTGTCGGCGTTCACCAAAAACAACAAAGGTGACGAGAGCGGTGACACACTTTGCAGGGCTTCTTCATATGTGGGTCAGTAGTGCTAAATTTGAACTGTTGACAAACACTGCTGCCCCCTCACTGGACACATCGAGGCCCTCCAGCCGGCCCAGTTCTTTATTTATACATGTCATACTGCTGTTGGGGATACTCCGGTATTCACCCAGACATTACAGCCCACATATACAGCCTACATGGAGAAACGCACCTCTGGCAGAGCTGCTCCAAATCAAGGCGCAATTCAATTGGTGGCTGCAGAATAGCAAGTTTGTGTGTGTGTGTGTGTGATGCATGTGACATAATAAACCGCACTATGGCTCGACTGGAGACAGAACGGATTTATACGAGCTGGGATTCGCCTCCATTTTCTCTTTTTCATGTGCTAATTTTACCCACGTGTAATTCCACTCCCAGTTCCCTGTCTAAAGCCTCCCCCCTCTCCCACCCCCTCCCCCCCCTGTAGTTTGAGCTGAATGGAATGAATGTCACTGTGGAGCGCTCTGTTCCTCAGGCTAAAAACGCCATGTGGGCAGAAAACAAAAACAAGAAGCGCTGTTCTTGTGGAGGAGGAGAGCTCAATACTGAGTTTGTACTCTGAAGACACTCCGGCGTGAAGACTTGCAGCTGCACATACAGTTCGCGCAGTATTTATTAACTCCGGACACACTGACCCAGAAACGCTGTGTGTGTGTGTGTGTGTGTGTGGACACACATTCGTATTGCCAGTCGACTGCATGCGTTCCTCCCTTATTACATAAATGTAACCCTACATCGTAAAACAAATGGTTGCAGAGACAAAGGGGCCTCTCTGTGCGAAGTATCACAATCACACACACACAACTTCCCGGTTTCCTTCTTCTTTTCCTGCAGCGAGGAAGCTGGATACTTGGTGATAAGAATTCATGAGGAGCTGTTGACATTAGGACTCTCTCACAGAGGGCAAAGACTAACTTGACTAACTTAATTGAGAGTTTTAGTAAGTTATGAAGGGACAAACAAGTTGTGCTCAGTGTTGTAGGCCGATATCCAGTGGGTGTGATTCGTAAGGTAACAAAAACATGCACAGTTTTATTATCTGTGGGTCATTACAGTCACAAGACTCCACGCTGCTTGAAGGTGTTGTTTTACACAGCTGGAGTGACCTCAGTTGCAGAGACATTAATGGAAGTGCCACCTCTAAAATTTAAGAGGTGGCATTTAGGTATTTAAAATTTTATTTGGGTTAGTAGTTTATCTCCTTATTTATTGTCATCAATTAATCTTAACCCTATGAAAAAATCAATTCTAAATTGCTGTCACGGGTTTCCCAGAACCTGAATCTGACGGCTTCACACAAAGATCATAATGATCTTCAACATAGTCATTCATCAGAATCTCTTTTTTAAGTAGCTACAAATTAATTTAGTGTCTACAAGTCTTTTCAGAATAAAACCCATCAAATGTGAAACTGACTGAAATGCCATATGTTTTTGTGGGAATTTGGTTACAAGCAGACGTGGCCATAGAGCCGCACGCGAACCCTGTAAGCTGATTGAAGGAGAGCCATCATTTAAATTCCCTTTTCCCTTTTCAGGTACAATGCCATCACCGGAGAATGGGCTCAAGACCAGATCCACCTCAAGATGGCTGAGCAGGTATTCCTGCTCTTCAGGAGCCCCCTCAAGGATTCTAATGCCACTAAAAACAAGTTTCTTATCTCTCCTCTTTATCATTCTACACAGCCGTTTGGGAAAGGGGCCATGAGGGAGTGCTTCAGGACGTAAGTTGAAATTTTTTCCTCATCCAGCAGTTGATGCCCTCGAGGCCTTCTTGGCCTCAGTGTAAAGATAACAGAGGTCTGTTTTATGAGTGGGGAGGGTCCACATTCCTCACGTTTGTTACCCGGGAGGATGGTTGCTGACAAACTCAGTCATTTCGGAGCCAAAGATGGTCACGGAAAATATCCCACTGAACCAGCTCAATACGGGTCCTCCGCGATGGCACGTGGGCGCGTTCATTGTTTCTGGGATGAAACGGAACTAAAGCGGGCGGCGTTTGTCACAGCTCCATTGTGTTCGTTGCTTCTGCATGACACTGCGGAAAGAAAGACCGGAGAGATAATGCACTAATTGTTTGTGTTTAATCCTCAGTTATGTGAACGAGGCCTCCATTAACTTCCCACTGGAACCTTTTTAGATGTTTTGCGGTCTCCCGCGCAAATATTCTCTCTGACAGAACCTGGCAAAGCATAACGTTCTCTGACACCTAAACAAGTTAGAACCAGAAACGTTCCACATCGTGAGGACTACGATGTTAAAATATCCCCAAATACTTACTAATGTAATATCTATATTTCTTTTCCCCCCAGGAAGAAGTTGTCAAATTTCTCACACAGCAGCAACTGGAAGTCGGCATCTAATTACGTGTCCAAGCGTTACATGGAGACGGTGGACAGGAACGTTTACTTTGAGGACGTCAGGCTGCAAATGGAGGCCAAACTGTGGGGAGAGGAGTACAACCGCCACCGACCGCCCAAACAGGTACAGACGCAGCGTTTACAATGAGCTGTATAACAAATACTGATACTGCAGCCGCTGTAGCCTAAAATGTGTTTGTTATTTGAACGATTACTCAACAAGGACTCGATTATCAGAGGAGAGCTGATTACATTTTAAACCAATAATAAATTAATTTACAGATCATTTAAATCATTAGATCTCATATTAAGGAATCATGGATGTATACATAGAAACGTCTCGAGAAATCCGAAAACATAACTCCTCTTTTGAATGTAATTATGTTTGGTTTTACGTTACACACACAAATATTTCTAGATTAGTTTCACCTCTCCTTTCTCTCATTGTGAATACTGAAGAATTTGTAGTTAGCAAAACTCATTTCAGCTCTAGAATTGCATCACAATAGAGTAAACAATAATACTGAATCAGTAAATGATGAATACACATTTTATATATGATTAAAGCGTTTTTTTCCCTTCGATTTGTCTTCTTTCATATCACATTTTCTTCATTACAGTCTGGCTGGAATGTGAGTGTTTAACTCTCTTTGACCTTCAGGTGGACATCATGCAGATGTGTGTGATCGAGATGACAGACAGACCAGGTAAACCTCTCTTCCACCTGGAACATTACATCGAGGGCAAGTACATCAAATACAACTCCAACTCCGGCTTCGTGAGGGACGAAAACATCCGACTCACCCCGCAGGTTGCTGTTAACACGCGATTAGTTAATATCAAATCAATGGTTTTAAAATTAACTAAATTGTTTTTGCATCCAACAGGCCTTTAGTCACTTCAGTTTTGAGCGATCGGCCCACCAGCTGATCGTGGTGGACATCCAAGGGGTCGGAGATCTCTACACGGACCCTCAGATCCACACGGAGCAGGGGACGGACTTTGGAGACGGAAATCTGGGTACACGCCCCCTTTGGCGTCCCCAAACCTGCTGCTGTGACGTTTGAAATCATGTAATTTGCTAATTATAAACCTGCCTGTGTTCCAGGTGTGCGAGGCATGGCGCTGTTCTTCCACTCCCACCTGTGTAACAAGATCTGCAAGAGCATGGGCCTGACGCCCTTTGACCTTTCCCCCGCAGAGAAGTCCCAGCTGAACTGCACCAACAAACTGCTTGTAACTTTAATTTCTATTATAATGAATAAAGTGGCAGCCAATCCGCAGTAGGTCAGGGTGAGAATAGTTGAGATGATAATAGGTTAAACTGTTATTTTTAGAAATCCAGTGGGTTGGTGCTTCATTGGGTTCTGCTCGTTCCGTTGCACGTTTCATGACGGACGATTTATCTCGTGTGTGTCAGAAGTCGGCCCAGACGGTGCTGCGGGGCTGCGAGGAGCCCTGCGGTTCCCCTCGCGTTCGGACCATGTCGGGAAGCCGGTCGCATCCGATGCTGTCCCGCCTGTCCGAGACGTCTTCTGTGGACGAGAGCCCGAGCGACCCGGACTCCGTGCCGTGCTCCCCTCTCACGATGGCCTGCTCCCCGCTGGCTGCACACGGGTTCATGGGGAGGTCGCCTCTCGGTAAGGGGCTCGTGAACGAGGGCGCGGCATGCGTGGCACGTGCACAGCGGCACATTTGCACGTAGTTGTAGTTCGCTGTGGAGCTTTTAAAATAGTTCGGCGTTATTTCTGCACTTCACAGGCTTTTCGTTTACGGGAATGGGCGAACACGAACGAGCGAATAATAACAACCACGGTGAATACAAGGTGAGCAGTAACTCATAACAAACCTCTAGGTGGCGCCGCATGCTGCGTATCATACCTTTTTTTAAATCACATGCTTGTAGGTCATATTGACCAGAGGATTGAAATGAATAAAAGAGTTCATTGATTTACTAATTACAACAAAACAGTTCTTATTAGATTAATGACAACATAGGCGTGAATAACGTGTTCCATTTCAGCCAATACGTTCAATTAAATGTTCCACACTGTTTCCACAAATGAAACGGATACTGTGTCTGGAAAAACGAGACACTTTAATAAAACACTGGATTTTCTCTCATTTGTGCTTTGAACCGGCGGCCTGGAGTCACTACGTTTGATTGATTTTAACAATGTATTCCTGTGTGCAGGAGTCTGATAGCGGCGGAGACAGCGGGTTCCCCAGCGAGAGGAGGAGCGAAGGAGACCCCAACGACCACGTAGACGGGGTGAATATTTACTTCAGACTTTGTTTGTTTTTAATATTGATCAGGATTTTTGGTCATTCATGGGACGTCAAACAGAGTCGGATAACCTGCTGAGAAATGTTTTTGTGTACGTATTTACCAAGTGGACATTTTGGATGTTGGCTGAATACTTTTGTTTGAATACTTCTAAATTAAAGGTATAATGTTCAGATTAGATTAGTGCAGATACGTTACTGGTTGAGTTCATCATATTTTTAGACCCATTTGTGAGCTTGCTTACGCATATTGTCTTAAACAAGCATCATTTTCTAAACTCTGACGTATCAGTCTTCTCTTGCTTACTCTTCCTTTGTCCTTCATTCCTCCCAGCTGGCCGATAGTCCGTTAATGTCTCCTCTTCTCCACATGACGTCTAAATGTAGGTTTCATAAACGCTTGTTATATTGTCACTTAGGCTCATCATCGCTACCAAAGACATTGTTCGGAGTCGGATGAGGACAGTGTCAGACGGGTAAACAAACGTAGAGACCGTAGTGTGTAAATGTCCTAATCGTCGCCACCGTGATCCTGTCACGCTCCTCGGATCCTCGTCCTTGTTTTTTCTTCACTGTGTCTATTTCACCTCTTTAACTGGAATTTAGCAGCACAAGCTGTTCCTCACCTCCCCTCTAATTTATCTCCTTCTGCTCTCTTGTGTTTCCTCACCAGAGGAAGATGGTGGCTCCTTCAAGAGCCGCTGCAGAATTCAATTCTTATAATTCTGACAGCGAATGGGTGATTATTATTGTTATTACGAGGCTTGTGGCGCCGGGCTTTTCCCAGCTGACTAATAACGATGTATCAAGCATGGCTCTCTCTGATTTTCAGATATTGCCACTTTTACTGTCTTTTTGATTTCAGAGAGAATGAAAACGGTCTTGACAATCTAAAATAACTAAAAAAGGACATGGGATTGGGACTGAAACACCATCTACCTCTATTTCACCAACTGCACCACCTGCTGGTGCCTGGTGAATAACATTGTTTGTGTGTGTGTGTGTGTGTTCTCCTGTTTCGTTTTGTTTTTGCACGCGCTGAGGCTAACGTGGACGACGTTCTTGTTTCAATACACCTTCATCACACGGTTGGCTTTGCCTCACCCTTTCGCTCCCCTCCCCTCCATGTCCACCGTCTTTTCCTCCTCAGCTGACGGACGAGAAGTGGAGCTTCTACCATTCGTCCCGCGCTCACGTCCACCGGTCCTCCTCGGTGGCCACCGAGGTGGAGCGACTCAACGCTCTCGTGCAAAAGAAGATCGGCCAGTCGATCCTCGGGAAGGTAAAAGATCAGATTGGTCGGTTTGACGTGAAGAAAGAGGACGTGTGTGGCTGGATTGAAATGAACGTTGGCCAAAAATCAAGAATAAACCGTTGGACTGTTAACTCTGCAGAGAGCTCAGATCTTCATGTGATCCTTTTTTTTACTTTTGGTTAAATACACCCGTGTCGAGAATAACTTCCTCCTCCTGAACCAGGTGCACCTGGCGATGGTGCGGTACCACGAAGGGGGTCGCTTCTGCGAGAAGGACGAGCAGTGGGATCAGGAGTCGGCCATGTTGCACCTAGAGAGGGCCGCGCTGTGCGGAGAGCTGGAGGCCATCGTGGCCATGGGGCAGTGCTGTCTGCATCTGCCTCACCACATCCTGCCGGAAATGGAGCTGGAGGTGGGCCACAGCAGTTTATTTGGCCTTTTGGTTTGGTGCGGTGTGCACCTTTTTTTAACATTTGTTGCTGTCGTTGGCAGGATAACGCTGGAAACAAGATGAAAGGTTTTAAATATCTGCTGCTGGCTGCGGAGGCCGGCGACAGATCTTCTATGATCATAGTGGCCAGAGCCTTCGATACGGGGATCAATCTATCAGCTGACAGGTCAGTGTCAGAGTTTTAAACTCTGGACTTTCTCATGAATGAACTCATGGGCAAAGATAAAATATGATACCACTGCCCCCGCCTAGAAGGATTTCTAGGATTCCTTTTTAATTATGGCAAAGGAAGATGGTACTATATCTGATGCTGACGGGTTTGTGCGTTGTTGTTGTTTCTTTCCAGAAAGCAGGACTGGGGGGAAGCCATCCACTGGTATGAAAGTGTGTTGAACATGACGGACTACGACGAGGGAGGGGAGTTCGATGGGACGCAGGACGAGCCTCGCTACCTGCTGCTGGCCAGGGTGGCGGAGATGTACCAAGTGGGAGGCTACAACCTCACGGCAGACCCACAGAGAGCAGGTTGGACAATAGATGTGGCTTCTTGACGACATCACTGGGGGTTTTCCGTCTTTTCGCCCCAAAATCAACTAATATCAAAATAGTTTCCTTAACTGTATCTATTGACATTTCTTCGTTTAAAAAGCATTAATTGATGTATGTAATTGTCTCAATTGCCTCCATCCTAACGGCTCCTACCATCCTTCTCTGCAGGTGATCTGTTTACACAAGCAGCAGAAGCTGCCATGGAGGCCATGAAAGGTCGATTGGCTAACCAGTACTACGATAAGGCCGAAGAAGCCTGGGCGCTAATGGAGGAGTAAATTTGGTTCCACGGTTTTATTACATAGAGGCCAAGGGAGTTAATCTGAACATATACAACCTAAATGTATAGAGTTTACATATTTTTATTGTATTATATTGTGTGTGTGTGTTTTTAACCTTCTAGAATGGAGCTTAAAGTTTCTGGTTTCTGTTTTTTCCGTTTCGGTTTTATTTAATTCCCTGTCTCTGATGTGAAGTGAATGTGGTTGCATAAAAGAGAAGGTCTGAAAGATCAAAACAAAGTAAATAGGTTACTTACTCTGCTCTTCATTCATGTTGGAAGAATGCATGTTTAAAAATTGGGGTATAAAATAATTAAATAAAGTTTGCTTTTTTTGGGTAAACACATGTAACTACTCCCTGGTTTCTTTCTTTCGCCCATTAGACAAAATGTATGTTTCAAGTGAATTACTTAAAATCATAGTCCAAACCAAGATATTCCATATTACAGTTCTCAGAGGTGGGGTCAGAAGTCTCTGGACAACAAAAATAAAAGTTTAAAAGCATTTCTAACATAAACCTTTTTCGTGTTTCTTGTTAAAATATAAAAGCTGCTTCTATAAAAACACTTTATATAGACGTGAATAAATTGAGATTCATTGAGATTTGTCTTTTAATTCTGAAGTACACACGTTTTGCGGATATTAGTAATATTATGTATGTGGAGTATTTATCCTCCAGGTAGCGTGGCCGAGCGGTCTAAGGCGCTGGATTAAGGCTCCAGTCTCCTCGGAGGCGTGGGTTCGAATCCCACCGCTGCCATATACTTTTCGTGCGATCTCACCCAAAGCTCCTACTAGACTTTCACGCACGCGTAACTAGAGAGAGAAAACACAAATACCCCAAAAAGACAAAAGGTAACTTTACAGTCATCTCGCTGTGCATTGTGGGTATGGGCTCCTCCCCACGTGTCTCCGTGAAGCCGAGTCAACATGGTACCGACAGCTCTCAGATGCCCGGTTTAGACACTACTCCTGCTCATGTGCGCACTTCTCAGACACGGATGTGCTATTTGGAACCGTAGAGTGAAGTGTGCAGGTCAGCGCTGGATATATTGTTTGTGTCGTTTTAGGAAACTAAAACGTCCCTAAGTAAATGTGTGTGTTATTTCGAACTGATATTAGCACGCCAAGCTAGCTAGCTTACTATCGGCTACCTGTGTGTTAGCTAGCTTGTTTAGTTGCGTGCTCGTTGGTGTAAAGTACCTTTACACGTTTTGTTATTGGTCTTTGTTCTGCCTTCTTTTGCACATGTATATGTGTAAACGTTGTGTCAGAATAAAACAAATCTGTGACAAGTGAACTGAATGGTTTGTTGCCAGCTTGCTAATCGAGCTACCCTCGCCAATGATGTAACTTGATTTTACGAATACTTAATTATCACGATTCGAGCCGTGTTTTACGTGATATACCGTTTGTTGCAGAGCGTTTGCACGATGAACAGTGGTTAATGTGGATTAGGTTACAGTGTCTTGCATCATGTAACATTTGTCTGTCAAAGCATCACCTGACAGACCGCATCATCTACTGCGGACTTACTTAACTTTTTTTTTTTAGTCAAACGATTCTTTGTCAGATCTCGGCTCAAGTAAAAAATATATTTTCCAAACGTCTTGTAATCTGAAAACAATGTAACAACACAGTAATGAATCCTGATGTGACGTGATTTTGCGGAATCACAATCCTACTGCACCAACTAGTCACCTGCCATCTGTTTTCTCTGTTTCTTTTGTTTTTTTATAACCAGTTTGGGTGTAACCACGTGCAGCAGTAATGTGTCAGCTTTAGAATGAACTCCTACACACTGTGTGTGTGTGTGTGTGTGTGTGTGTGTGTGTGTGTGTCCTTCTCTCCAGGTCGGGTCTCTGAGATCAGCTGATCCTGTTACTTCTCCTCTCAATCAATCAATATGGCCAGCGGGGACGACGACGACCCCATTATAGAGGAGGTATGTCTGCAGGCCAGTTTATGTAATATTTCACCCCGATTGTTGCTTGTGAAGTTTGATTAGCGTATTACTCAAAACATTTCAACAAACCCATTTCACTGGGTGTCATAGAGTTTCGTAATTATGCACATCGCTAACAACTTTTATTAATCCACAGCAAGAATAGGCCCCATCAAATGCACTATTTACTCCCATTGGAGTGAAGTTTATTTATGTGTGTTTTTGGTCAATGAATGGTGTATTTCTGTGGTGATTTTAAGGTTTTACATGAATTAACTTTGAGTTGAATGCCAGACAGCAACACAAAAGGTCAAAGAAAGTTAATCAGCCTTATACATAGACACGCACACACACACAAAATTGCATGCATTGTTGAAACGGCTTGACTGATATCAGCTCCTCAAATATCTTTTGATCAGTGGTTTTCTTTCTTTTTAGATCGATGTGTATCTTGCCAAAAGCCTTTCCGATAAGCTGTATCTTTTCCAGGTAATACTTTACTTTATTGCACTTAATGCTGATGACTGTTCCTATAACTTATCTCAACTCATTTATTCTGCAGCATGATTGTTGTGTAATGACCACGGTGTCAAGAGTTACTCTCTAATTGCCTTTACTGATTTTCTTCCGAGGCAGTACCCTCTCCGACCATCCACTATGACGTACGACGATGTCAACCACTTATCGGCGAAGATCAAACCCAAGCAGCAACGGGTAAAAAGTGCTCTCTCATTCATTCTTTCAATCACACATCCGTGTAGAGCGTGTTCGTAATGTCTGTTTTTGCCCATTCAACAATACAGGTGGAGTTGGAGATGGCCATAGACGCGATGAGTCCAAACTACTGTCGCAGTAAAGGGGAGCAGATCGCTCTGAATGTGGACGGGACGGCCTACGACGAAACCAACACGTTTTCATCGTAAGTGTTGGGTTCTTATCACTGGTGCACTAAGAGGAGGCTGCTGATACCGATCTCATGTTTATATGTCAAGTGTGAAGCTGCAGCCAGGAGACGGTTAGCTTAGCTTAGCTTAGCATAAACTATTTAAGCATTGACATACCCGTGCTATGACGCTGTTTAGTACGTTCCGATACATAGTGGTCCTCTGTACAGAGGATTCTTGAGCAAGAGGGCCGAAGTTCAAAGTGTAATTCTATGAAAAAAGTAGTATGTCCCCAATGAATCTACGAAAAGTCAAATGTATGACATTTGGAACGCTGCTTATTTCTCTGCAGACACTTTCCAAAGTCGCCAATGATTTTCAAAACCAAGGAGAGGTTGCCCGCCCAACCCTCCTGAAATGGGCAGTAGTTATCTTTATTTCCCGCAGGATAAACATGCTTCCTCTTTTCTCTCCAGGAAAATGATGGATAAACAGTCCTTCACCTCCATCCAGGCCACCACTAACACCTGCAGATATGCTGCTGCTGTGTTTCGGAAAGGTCGGATCCTCTGCTCCTCCTCAGCAACATGCTTGTCTTTGTTTTTTTTAAATGCTCATATGTTCACAGGCCGTAAGAAACGTTACCAATCTTCCTTTTCTCATCTTCGTCGAGTTATCTTTGTTTGCTAAGAAGATGTCCAACTTCTCACTATGAACCACAATTGAGTACCAAAGGTTGCATTTGCTTATCCCATTGTTTCATTATTTACGTCAACAGGCGAACTTCATATCACCCCTCTGACGGGAATCCTCCAGATGAGACCGAGCTTCTCTTACCTCGACAAGGCCGACACCAAAACCAGAGAGAGGGAAGCGGCCAATGAGGGTTTGTCATTTATTTCTATGTTACATAATTGGGAGCGATTGGAGTGGATGATTTTAAAATAATGGAGAACAAGTGGTACGTTTTAGTGCAAACTAGAAGTGCGATGACGACTGTTATGTGACCAGAGTCTTTCGTCTGCAGGTGGAGATTCCTCCCAGGATGAAGCGGAGGAGGATGTGAAGGCCATCACGGTGAACACACACACACACAAACATGATTACACTGAACCTAGCAGTTCTAAAATAATGAATGAATTCCCAATCTCTGCTCTCCAGGTGAGGTTTTCCCGCCCCGAGTCTGAGCAGGCGCGGCAAAGGCGGCTCCAGTCGTACGAGTTCCTCCAGAAGAAGCAAGCGGAGGAGCCGTGGGTTCACCTGCACTACCACGGGGTCAAGGTAGGCGAGGGCTCCTCGCCCGCCGGTTAGTTCTGGGTCGGTTGGTCCGATGTGAGCGAGCGTGTTCTTGTTTCGTCTTTGTGATGTCACTTGCATCTTAGGATGGGCGCTCGGAGCACGAACGGCAGTACCTGCTCTGCCAGTCGATGGACGCCGCCGAGAACTCCGAACTGGTCAAAACTCCCAAGTGAGTATTAACGAATGAAAGATTTGAATCTCATGACTTTTGAGATTTTGTTTTGATTCAGTCTGAGTCCGCGAAGTTTGATACCTAATTTCCAAATAACTGCACACTCAAAATAACGTGTCGATTGTGACTTTACTGCATCGCTTCCGGGTTTCCTTACCTCGTATAAAATCTAAATGTCTGTTCCGTCTCTAGACTGTTTTGGTTGCCTCACGCTGAGATCTTTGGCTTATATTTATTTTTTATATTTTATATCTTCCGGCGGGATTCCAGACTTCCTAACGTCCTCATATGGTTCCTGATGTGTTTTTGTCTTTTTCTTCCTCTGTGCAGGGAGTACCTCACCATGCTGATGCCGCCTCTTGCAGAGGAAAAACTGTAAGTGTTCCTCCCCCTACTAACCGGTGTGTAAACCGGACGCTTCGTTGACGTTCTCCCCCTCTTGTTTGTGCGTGTTAGTGTGAAACCAGTCGGCCCCAGCAACGTGCTCTCCATGGCTCAACTGCGCACTCTCCCACTGGGAGAGCAAGTGAAGACGCTGTTGAAGAACGGTGAGTCGAATTGTAAACCTCTATTTCTGCTACGGTTGTAAATGCAGTTCATGTACCTACTAGTGAGGTAGTAGGACTGCTGCTTTCATTACGTCCCGTGGAGTTTTTCTTTAATCCAGAGTGGCGGAAAAGCATTAGTATCAATGTTCGACATGTGAAATGTTACTTTCCAGTCAGGATTTTTGCTCTGTATATTTCTCACCGTCCAATTAAATCCTATTTACGCCACGTAATCCGCATTCGGTTTGACTCTCCTTCCTCCGGCGCTGCTATTTCATATGTTCTTCCCCGCGTCTCCTCTCGTCCCCAGTCAAGGTGATGCCGTTCGCTAACCTGATGGGCCTGCTCGCCTCCGGCACAGACTCCACCGCCGCGCTGCGCTGCATCCAGCAGGTGGCGCTGCTGGTTCAGGGCAACTGGGTGGTGAAGAGGTGAGGGGTGAAAATGTCCCTTCCTTTTGAGTTTGAGAGAACTCTGCCGACAGGGCGTCCGTTCTGAGGAGATTTACTATTTTCTCGCAAATAAACTTGCGGCGTCTCTGCGTCTTTTTTGTGTTTTTTTTTTCTGCAGTGATGTTCTGTATCCCAAAAACACCTGCAGCCCTCACAGCGGCGTCCCTGCCGAGGTGCTCTGTCGCGGCCGGGACTTTGTGGTGAGCTGACGCTGAACCAATACAAGGGGCCTTGCCACGAGAATGTGTTCTGAAGTCGTACTGACAGTTGTTTCCTTCGTAGATGTGGAGGTTCACCAGGGAGCGCTCTGTGATGAGGAAGGAGGTTACAGCCATCATCAAAGTAAGTACCACGTTCCCGGATTTACTGATTGGTTCATGGCGGTTTGATCCTCTAAAAAGGATTAGTAAGTTAGTTTGCAGCCATTCTATCAAGTTGAATCGTTTTGTAAATATTATAAAAACTGATGGCCGTGCAAAACCTCTTGTTGTCTGAGGCACCAGCAACCAGAGGCAAAAGTTCAGGTGAACGGAACTAACGACGTCTTCCTTCTGTCTTCCGCCAGCTTCCTCCGGAGGATGTGAAGGAGTTCCTGGAGCACGTGGCCGTTCCTCGAGTGAACCGGGGCTGGGAGTTCCTGCTTCCTACGGATGCCGAGTTCATTAAGAAGCACCCGGACATCGGCCACAGGCAGCAGATGCTGTGGCTCGGCATCCAGAGCAAGTGGGTCGCACTCCGAAGCAGGATGAGGAATGTTTTTAGGCGTCGTCACTGACGCGTAATTAAACCCTTCGTCTTTCGTTTAAAGGTTGGAAAAGGTCTTCAACTTCTCCAAAGAAGACTTCGGGCCGAAGGATTCCCCGCAGCCCGGTGCGTACGGAGCCGGCCGCCGGCGCGCTGGGCGGGAACCTCGGGGCCGGATTTGAGCTGATGTCAGCGTGTTGTTTTGCAGAGCCGGTCCACGTCAGCGGGGAGCAGCGCCTGAAGGCGGCTCACGAGCGCGCCGAAGGGAACAAGTCGTCCCTGCAGAGGCAGCTGGACGGCAGGCGGGCCGGAGGCGCCGTCGACGTGAAGCGGGAGCACGTCAGCGACCGGGAGGACGAGCCCATGGACGCCTCGTCCTCCGTCCCCAACGGCTCGTCCAACGGTCACCCCGGGGCCGCCGCCGACCACGGCAACGGCGGGAGCGCGTCGTCGCAGGAGCTGCAGGACTTTGTGATGAAGACTTTCAGGAAGCACTTTGTACTGACGCTCAGCGAGTTCAAGAGGCTGCTGAGCCTCCACGTCGCCTCCATGCCGGTGGGACGCAGCGTCTTCCCCCCCATCTCGGACCACATGCTACAGGACGCCATACTGCTCTGCCACTGCAAACAGATAATGGTGCCTGTGAGTATTCAGGGCGGATTCCCTGCTGTCCAAATGGTTTGGGTGGTAAAAGGTCTTTGTCTCCGTCCTCTCTTCTGCTGTCCGTCGTAGTTTGCCAATTTTCTAATCTGATAGGAAGGGACAAAACAATTAACTTAAACATTGCAGCCCGAGTTCAAATGCTGCACGGTAAAAGTCTGCATGTTGGGCATTACGTGGAGAAAATCTATCATCTTTAGATTTGAATCGATTAGTTGATTAACAGAAACTGAATCTGCTGCTGTTTTAAATATTAATTAATCCTTTCAGTCACTTAAAAAAAGCAAAAGGGCCCAAAAGTTGCTGTTTGGAGCTTTGTTGCTTTTAAAAAAATATATACAGATATATTATAGATCTGAAAAATGTGATGCTTCTTCTTTTTGAACTGTGACTTTTCAGACACGTCCCCGAACGTTTAGGACTCAAAGGATAATTCTCCCTAAAATCAGATCAGGGGCCCAAGAGCCGACGGCGCCCTGCTGGCGACGTTACTCCACCTTTTTGATCTTGAATTACGAGCTGCGACTCCAGCTCAGATGGCCCGCAGCTGCTTTCTCTGCTCTTGAGTGCAGCTATCGGTTTTCCTCGGCACAGAATAACGGCATCAGCGGTCGCTTTGCTCGTCCCGCTCTTTGTTGCTTCCAAAGCGGGAGGAGCGCTGAAGCGACGCAAACCAGCCGCTCGGGTTCCGCTCCGCTTCCAGCCACCCGATATCTACCGCTGCACTCCGTCGGCTCGGTGGAGGTGTTTTCCACTGGATGTGTTGTTTGCTGGTAGGACGGGCTGCACTGCTTTGGGGTTTTACTCAACCAGTGCGCTTTACATCAGAGGACTTGAGCCGCCGTGGGAGACGGGGGGGGGGGGCAGGGCTAGACGCCATCTTTGTTGTGCAACAGATTACCGGCCTCAAAGCAAAGCTCATTACCGGGGGTGGGGGGGGGGCCCTAAGCCGGTCTACACACAGGCGATTTGCTTTCTTCACTCCGTGAGCGCTCTTGGTTCGTCTGTCTGACGGGGCAGGGATCGGTTCTTTGCTGTCTGGTTGTTAATCCTCGCCGTCGGCCCTTCTGCTGCTCGGGCCTCGTATTGTTTTGGGCATTTCGTCAACACACCTAATTACCAGACTAATTTGTCTGAGAAAAAAGAAAAGCAGAGCCATCTTTATTTTAGTCAAATGGCCCTTTGTACTCGTGAATCAAGACTTGGATGATCAAGCTTTGATGAGTTATTTCGAAATGGAAAACACAGCGCTGAGAATCTTTATCTTCTTTAATCTAAAGCTCTTTTCTAACGTTTCTCTTTCCCTCCCGCTTTAGTTTCCTGCTCAGACCACAGCGGCGCCCGATGAACAGAAGGTGTTTGCGTTGTGGGACACGGGAGCGGAATTCGACAAGGTAAACCCCCCCCCCCGTTGACCCGCTCCGCAGTCCTCTCACGACTGGCTCCTCCTCACTTCGCGCACACTATTGCAACGGAAATTACGGCACAAGCCAGAGCCATGAGTACCAGCGTGTTGTAACGCCGGCAGCGATCGGCTCGTTTCTTTACCGCAAAGCGTCACAAGAGAGAGAAGTAGGACGAGCTCAGTTTGTCGCCCACAACCGCAAGTCGAAGAGGCAAAGCTGAACACCAAGTGTGTGCGTGTTTCCCCTCTTTGTCTTTCCTTCTTGTTTTCGTTCATGTGCATTAGAAGCCAATGACTAAAATGTTTCCCAATCGTGCAATCTGCATTACTGCAAACATCTTAAGAGTTTTCTTCAGTAAAATTTACGAGTTACAAAACTGCTGGCTTCCTCTTGGCAGGTTTCAAAGGTTTCCACAGAGCTGAGAGGAAGACATGGAAACACCTCCTGATGGTCCCCGGAACTTTAATAGTAATCTGCAGAGCAAACTGCATTTTCATAGTCCAGTCTAGCCTGAAATGAACTGAGTGTGCTCCTGTGTGTGCGTCCACGGATAATCTTGCATTCTGCTGCAGAATATTTTGAGTGGCTTGTTTTGGCTGAATGCTCAATGAGGCCTCGTGGTCCGCGGTGACTTTTTATCGTCTGTTTGATGCGGCCGTTAAATGCCCGCTGTCTCTTCACTGCCAGTGGTGACAAAGGTTTACTTCCTCTATGTTTGATGGGTTGTATTTTTTATCTGTTGCGTTTTTTTTAAAATGACATGATATGTCATTTAGGTGACTCTTTTATCCAAAGCCACTTACAATAATACGAACCCAGAAGAACAAGAAAGTTACTAGTGTGTCCTGGGATTTTCATCTCAAACCAGATAGAACATGTTAATGACTCCGCTTTCCAGGGCAGATGTAGACGTGCAGATCGTCGCATCCAACTCGCGGCACGGAACCCACTCGGCGTATTTCTCTAAATGCTTTTCAAACGAGTCGCGTGTGTTTCCTCCTGCAGCATCGCCGGGTGCTGTACGACATGTTCAACAAGAACTACCGCATCAGGAGGAACGCGTTGCAGGTCAAACTGTCTCAGGAGCTCGGAGACGTGCCGAAGACGGACGTCAACCGGCTGCTGCAGGTGAGAGCGGCGGCGGTGAGGGGTTGGATGGGGGCGGGGGGCGTTAGCGTCAGCGCGGCCGTAACTTGCCGTCTGTTGTTCCAGGAGTGCTGCATCAGCCACGCCGGGATGTGGTACCTGAACGGAACGTTACAGTCCTGACACGGAGACCCCGCCCCTCTTCCTCCTTCTCCTCCACCTCTTCCTCGTCATCGGCAGCCAGTCGAGCCGCTCCCGGGTGTCTAGTGGGAGGACGTCCTGCGAGGGAGGCGGGCGGCGATTGGGGGACATAAGATGTCTGCGGCTGAAGCAGGTCGGACACTGACGCGACGGTGATGCGGCGCGGAGGATCGGAACCCCTCACGTCCTCCCACCAAGAGCCGACGCGCCTGAGGGTAGAATACGAATGTCCACAAATAGCAAGATATCTATACGGTTTATAAGTAGAGTTTGAGATTTCATTGGACCTTATGTTAGTTTTTCTTTATTATTATTATTAATGAAAAATCAGGATGACAGTCACTATTTAAAGCAGCGTGGCTCAAAGTCCTTTAATTTTTCTCCTGATTTCTAAATGTTGCCAGAGGAAGCGAGTGTTACTGTATCATCAACAGGTCCAACATGTTCACGCCTTGTGAGGAGAAAAGCCAGTTTTTTAGTATTAACTCCACCAAATGAAAGAGTTGAGCTTTGAACGGGACCCGTTGCTTTAAAACCTCTCGAGGCACTTGAGGAAATATCTGCGAATTCACGCGTTGGCAAAAACTGAAACGAAAAGGGAGAAAAAATATGCAAAAACAAGCAAAAAGTCCCTGATGTCGTCATTATTATTATTATTATTATTGGCCATCATAAATCTGTAAACATGGCGGAGTCGGATGTAAACCGTTATGAGGTGTGATTCTGGATGAATGCATAAAGTTTGAAATGGTTTTCCTTCGGGAAGAGACTGATTTTGATTATAGCCAATAAAATTGCAATGTCAAATTCTTTGTCATTTGTTTGAACACAAATTTGTCTGGATTCAGTTAATTTGTACTTGACAAGGACGTGTAGACAGACCGCTGTGCTGCTTTATTAAGTACCTGACGATACAAACTCCCCCCTCACTCGAATAAACGGAACGATGAGGATTCCCCTTACGTTTGCTCGTCCTTAGTCATCGGTGAGATGTTTGGACAGGAGAAGCCGGATTACCGAGGTGATATTATTTTAGAGAACATATTGCTGAAGTATTCATGATTTTCGGTGAAAACTGTTATGATCATAAAGACGTCAAGTTGATTCCTCACAAAAAACTGCAAACGAAAATCAGATTTCGGTTTGTCACTATCGAACCGGCTTGATATTATTTTATAATGGGAAACTTTTTTTAATGAATTCTGGTTGGATGATTATTTTCAAAGAGGTTTTACATAAATAACCTTTTTGTGGGAGATATTTAGAGATGTTAGTTTGCGCTGTAATGTTTTAATAAATTTGACAGTTGCAACAGAAGTCAAAAACAATTTACAGGAACTTAATTTACGTAAATCGCATGTCTGTATTTCTTGTTTCAATTTTGGAAGTGGTGCTTTTGGCTCCTAAAACATCTGTTTAGTATCTGTTTAAGCTTCAGTATCATTAAAGATCACAACATTCTTTCATTTCTACTTTGCCATTCCAAATCACACGTCCTCATTTGATCGGTCAAAGATCCTTCGGTTTCTGCCGGACGTGTCAAGTGGGTTTGAAGTGCAGCACATCTGCTCCGTTATTTTATATTAAGCAACAGTTAAAGTGCATCCGTGATTCACCACGTCAGAGTCCAACCGCCTCAATTAACAACAATGAAAGACACAAACCGGCCTTCTCCACTTGCTTCATGTTTTATGGCTCAGACATAAACCACCAGGTCCGATAACGACGGCGGTTAAAACACAGACGTACGTACACACAGACGGTTATTCAGGACATTTACTACATTGATCACACGTGTCAAGTGTCAGAAGAGCATAATAATGTGCAATTCTCTAAAGTGCATAATAGGATTTTTACAGACATCTACAAACCGTTTTAAGCTGAACAAGCTGAACGTCTTCTAATCAAACACCGTCTCATTATATTAATAGAAATATAATATACAATCAGGAGGCCGTTTACATTATCAGGTACATTTAGTTACGCTTCTGGTAAACCTCAGAACTTCCCTTTAATATCACACCACCGTACAATAATCAATTCCGGGAAATAAACTTTACGATTACAAAACAAATCCCTCTACAGTTCAATCACCAATAACAACAATAATATAAACTCCTTCACCAAAACAACTTGCATTGATCGCTCTTATAGGCGCAGGGAAAACGATCCCCAAGACAGGACTTCTTTTTTTTTTTAAATAGCTTCAGAGAATAAAGTTCCCATTGGATCACTCTGCTGTTCTTTTAGGCTGCAGCTGATTGGTGTTCTGGCTCTGAAAAATACAAAAACAGAACTAAAAGAGTGAACGTTGAATCAGAAAGACGCCTCCAATCATAATGTTGTTGTATTGCTGCCAGATTGCGTAAATTAATAATAAAAATTGTCAAATTTCACTGACTGAAATACTTTTTTAGGTCAAACAAGAAGTTAAGAGATGAAAATGGTCCATTAGTTAACACGCTGGTCAAAATAATTTGCAACAATTTAGATATTTGCCATCAAATGTGGTTTTTGTTCCACATCAAAGACTAAATGATCTTTAATGAGCTATTTTAAATAATGGAACCACTAATGTAAAAGATCAAAAGAGGACTTGAACGCCGTTTCCATTTTCTATACGATCAGCACCAAAGAACATCGTTTGCAGGAAGCCATCTACGAATTTACGTGAGGACCCAGTGGAATAAAACCGCCGGCGTCACGCGAGAGGACGTTTGTTGACAGGTTGTTGTTGTTGTTTTGTTGCACAAAGCGAGGTAGAGTGGCCGCGCGGTGGAGGCGCAGCGGGAGGAAGCTGCTGCTGCTCCAGTCTGTCCAACAACAGTCATTCTTGGAAGACCACGATTAACCTGGCAGCAGGTCTTTGTGGGGGAGGGAGGGAGGGAGAGGGCGGGAGGTGGGGGAGATGGTTAAGCTACTGATGCTTAACCAGCCCGTCCCCACCGGAGGCTCCCGCCCGGTTTCCAATCAGGTCCTCTTTGGTTTTCTGAATGCGGGAGAAGATCTCCCTGAAAAGTTCCTTGTACTCCGGCTGGTGAAAGTCCTCCTTGATCGTCTCAGCTGGACCAGACGCAGTCTGCACCGCCTCGCCCCCATCATCCTCCTCCTGCTGCTCCTCCGCCTCCCGCTGCTGCTGCCCGAGGTGGCAGCGCCGCAGCAGCTCGTCGTACTTCACCTGCAGGGCGCTGTACTGGGCGTCCACCTCGTTGAGCAGCGAGATCCCGCGGTACTTCACCACCTCGGCGCGGCGCACGCAGGAGCACTCGTGGTCGTGGACCCCGTCGAGAGAATCGGGCGCCTCTGGAGGCCTCGTCGGCCGCTCGCCGTCCCAGCGCTCCAGGGCCCAGGGGACGCCGGGCGCCGCCGCGTCCCCGTCGCTCTCCTCGTCCGAGGGCAGGAACATGGCGTTGGGCAGCAGGCAGCGGACGGCGTCCGGCCTGGCGGACCTGGCGGAGGAGTCGGATTTCCAGAGCTGGCGGAGCTCCTCGGCCTCGCGCTCCAGCTCAGCCGCTCGGGCCTGAAAAAGGAGTTCACAGCTGAAGGAGCGTCCTCCTGCGGCCTCTCGTTTGACCTCATTTGAGAAGATGAAAACAAACAGCGTTGTCTATATGCGCGCTGTGTTGCGTGCGAACCTCCGCGGCGGGACCCCCCCGTACGTACCCGACAGCCCTCCAGCCCGGCCAGCTGCTGCTCCAGCGCCGCGTTGTCCCGCGCCAACAGCTCGGCCTCTCGCTCCGACCGCTCCCTCTGAGCGCGCTCGGCGGCGAACTGCGTCTGGAGGCTGCGGAGGGATTGACGCAGAGACGCCTGCTCCTCCTCGTGTCACGACGCTGCAGGGGACTCGAGGCCGTCGGGGGGCTCGTCGCAGTCGTCTCTGCACGGAGACGCAGGCGGTTAGACGGACAGGCATTTTATGGGTGGTTGCCTTAAGAATTGTTTATATGATGAAGGTTCTGATTTCAGGGTTTTTTTCTCCAGCTTATTTTCCTGAATTTTGTCGAACGTTCACAGTAGTTTTGAAGTGGTTTCCACCCCCCGCTGACAAAAGACCATGAGATCCGGTCAGAATCCCCGCAGCAGGCCAGGGGCGGGACCTCGAGTGGTTATTGTGTTGTCAACTTCTTGTGTGGAACTTTCGTTGTCACCGTGCGGGCTGATCATTTACCTTCTCTTTCACAACTTTAGTTAGTGTGCAAAGCGAAAAGGTGACGGGATGTGCGTCGTGGAGACGGAGGCCTACGCCACGGGTCAAAGGTCGCGGGACAGGTTCAAAGTCACAACAGTGCAGAGGCACAATGGGACGTTTTGATTTTGTTCTGCAAAATGACAAACAGACTGTTTGGATTTTATTACAAGAAATTAAAATTGTAGTTTTATTTAAAAAATCTTGTACAATGGATTCATTTCAGCCCTATTTTGATTTGAATGTATATTTTTAGATTAAGTATTATTTTGCTAGAATAAGCCATTAAATGAATTAATTCAAATCAGCAGAACCGAGTAATTACAAAATATGCGGCGGAATGAATCTCATCCTGAGACAGACGCCGCTGTGCAATCCAGCTCAGACTTTGACCTCCTTCCTTCCAACCTCATCCTGCACAGTTCAGACCCGCTTCACGCCGCTTCACGCCGCTTGATCAGCGAGACTCACGTCCGTCAGATCGGCTTGTTTGTGAGACTCAACTTGAACGTGGGGGCCGGGGGGGAAGTGAAACGCTCAGAGCGGGATTAGCCGACGTGGGACAGACCAGGACTCAGTGGAGGATTTGCTGCTTCCCTTCAGGAAGCTTACAAAAGATCTTCTGGATCAGTGACAAGGCTCCTGTACCTGGTTAAGAAATACGTTCAAAACAAAGGTTCTTCGAATCCCCTTTTTAATCCTCAACGCATCAACAAGAGACTCCCGAGCTGAATAATTCCCTGCCATTTATTATTTCTGAGACTGTTAACTGCGTTTGTCAGTCCATCGATCAGCAGTTATTAGGCCGAGAGGGAAGAAAAAGTGGATTTCCTAAATAATATTCCTTTGATTTGCTCGTCTTCTCATACGACGACGCCAAAAGCCAAATATGTCCAATCGCACTTGAACGAGCAGACGTCTTCAAGTAAACGATCAGAATTCTGTCCCCCAGGTGTTACACCGGGGAAGACGGGGCGACACGCGACGGGGGCCCCCGACCCCACCAAAACACGCCGCTCCAGCTCCCTCACCCGAGCGGGTTCTGCAGCTCCGTCAGGCAGGACACGCTGCGGGCGCTCCGAGGGGGCCACCTCCCTCTGCGCGGACGCCTCGGGGGCCGAGCCGGATTCAGCTTCAGCTCCTCCACCTGGTGCTGGTGCTCCTCCACCTGCGCCTGCAGCTGCTCCACCGTCTCCGTCAGCCTGCGCCGCAGAGAGCAAACGAACAAAAAAACAAAAAACAAAAAAAAGGTCGGCGTTACGCGACTGACACACCGGACGAAACGGTGCAGAGTCGTGTGCGTGGAAGTGCGGACGCACCCCTGGATCTTCTGCTGCGCCGCCCGGCTGTCCAGGACCAGCTTGAGGTTGCCGCGCTCCAGCTCCCGGGCCGACACGTCCAGCTGCTCGTAGACTTTGGCGTGCTGGTCGTTCACCTGCCGCAGGAGGTCCACCTGCTTCGTCAGGTACTGGGGAGGGGCGGGGGGGGAGGAGAGGGAGGGCGTGAGGGACAGTTTGTTGGGCATCGACATCCGCCAAGACGTTCGTTATTGAGGTTTTGATTGTTTGAGATGACATCTGATTTCACACTAAAAGTGAAATGCAGTAAAAATTTCAATTTCAAACA